TATCGTTCCTTAGGTCAGGCCGATGACTGCGCCGTGCCTGGCGTGCACTTCCCTTCCTCTCCTTTGATTCGCTGGGTTTATTTCACGCGGCTGGGGTTGCCGCCAATGCCGATGTCTGATGGTGCTCTGACATTGTGGATCCCATGCAAGGATCACGCTGGGAATAGGCGGTCAGGTGCCCCCTGGCCTGCTCCTGGCTGGTGTCGGCCTCCGGTGGTGACCGAAAGGGTTCAGCGGGGTGTCGCTACGAATTCCATGCAAGTATCACACTGGGAATGGGCGGTCAGGTGGCCCCTGGCCTGCTCCTGGCTGGTGCCGGCCTCCACTGGTGACCGAAAGGGTTCAGCGGGGTGTCGCTACGAATTCCATGCAAGTATCACACTGGGAATGGGCGGTCAGGTGGCCCCTGGCTTGCTCCTGGCTGGTGTCGGCCTCCACTGGTGACCCAGAGGGTTCAGTGGGGTCTCGCTGCGTTGCCGACCTCCACGGCGCAAGGACTTCGGCATGTGTGGCACGGTGCGCCCGTTGGCTGCTTCCTCTTGCAAGGACTTCGCCTTCGACATGTGCCACTGATGTACAAACGACAGGTACTGCCGTTTGCAGTCCTATATGTGACGAGGTTGCCCCTCTTCACTCTTGCTCTGACACGACGCTCTTGTGTCGCCTACGGCACGGACGTCGCCCGAGTGCGCCTGTCGGTCCTGCTCGTCTCTGACGGTGCCTTGTGCCGACACACACCGAGTGATTGACCTCTGCGTGTTCATGGTCGCGCGACCGCGCCATTTTGGCTGCGCTTACTTGCTGGTCGCCACCGGGACCTCCACGCCACCGGGTTGGGAGTTTCGTGCCCGGCTCTTCTTCTGCATGGCTGCCCGCGCGTTCGCTTCGTTTGCCTCTCTTTTCTTGCTGCCTAGTCGCGGCCCGACTAGTGTTCGGACGGCTGTCGGCCTGCTTCGCGAGCCCGCGGACCAAAAAAGTAACCCCACCAGCCCATCCAGAAACGATGCCCAGACGGGTTGCCCTGATCAGGGATGTGGAGGAGCACGCGCTGGAATAAAGGGTTGGGTAAGACGTCGTACCGCAACAGGGAGAGGATGGAGAAGGAATCGGAGGAGGAGGAGGAGGAGGAGGAGGAGGAGGAGGAGGAGGAGGAGGAGGAGGAGGAGGAGGAGGAGGAGGAGGAGGAGGAGAGGAGGAGGAGGAGGAGGAGGAGGAGGAGGAGGGAGGAGGAGGAGGAGGAGGGGGGGGGGGGGGGGAGGAGGAGGAGGAGGAGGAGGAGGAGGAGGAGGAGGAGGAGGAGGAGGAGGAGGAGGAGGAGGAGGAGGAGGAGGAGGAGGAGAGGAGGAGGAGGAGGAGGAGGAGGAGGAGGAGGAGGAGGAGGAGGAGGAGGAGGAGGAGGAGGAGGGAGGAGGAGGAGGAGGAGGAGAGGAGCAGGTGGGGAGGAGGAGGAGGAGGAAGGAGAGGAGGAGGAGGAGGAGGAGGAGGAGGAGGAGGAGGAGGAGGAGGAGGAGGAGAGGAGGAGGAGGAGGAGGAGGAGGAGGAGGGAGGGAGGAGGAGGAGGAGGAGGGGAGAGGAGGAGGAGGAGGGGAGGAGGAGGAGAGGAGGAGGAGGAGGAGGAGGAGGAGGAGGAGGAGGAGGGGGAGGGGGAGGGGAGGAGGAGGGAGGAGGAGGAGGAGGAGGAGGGGTGGAGGAGGAGGAGGAGGAGAGGAGGAGGAGGAGGAGGAGGAGCGGAGGAGGAGGAGAAGGACGAGGAGGAGAGGAGGAGGAGGAGGAGGAGGAGGACGAGGAGGAAGAGCAGGAGGAGGAGGAGGAGGAGGAGGAGGAGCAGCAGGAGCAGGAGCAGGAGCAGGAGCAGGAGCAGGAGCAGGAGCAGGAGCAGGAGGAGGAGGAGGAGGAGGAGGCGGAAGAGGAAGGTGAAGGGGAGGGGGAGGAGGAAGGAGGAAGGACAAACAATAGGCGAATGAGGAAGAGGCGGAGGAGGGCGCGGAGAAAAGCCAGAAGCCTCTTGGATGCCTTTTTGAGTATCTTCGGAGTTATTCCGCGAGTTTCTTGGAGGCCTTTTGGGGCGTCTTGGAGGTCCCTGAAGGGTTCCAGGGGCCCCTTGGGTGTTTTTTGGGTGCCTCTGGGGGGCGTTTTGGGGTGTTTTGGCCAACACCTGAGGAGGCCAAGATGTGGCCAACACCTGAGTAAAATCAATGCTGTTGGCATCCTCGCCGAGGCAAAAAAAAACCCTCTGACACCTCGCCAAAAGCCCGGTCCAGACCCATGGGGAGAGGCTCGGGGGAGGGGTCAAGTTCCCCTCCCCGCCCGCAAGGCGTTTGACTCACTCCCACCCGCCCTCCCGACACAGAAGTAGCACCCGAACCGCAGCGTGTCCAGCGGTAGGCGTTGCATGGATTGGTAATGGTAACCAAAAACAGCCCCATTTGCGCAACGCTGGGCCGAGGTGCGCCAGGCGTGGCAGGCGCGCCACGCGCGCCATGTGCGCCAGGTACCCCTGTGGCCCAAGCGTGCCGGGCACGCCTGGCGCGCCAGATGCGCCACGTGATCCACGAGCGCCATGTGTGCCGCATGGTCCAGCCGTGCCAGGTGCGCCACGATCGGGGCACGCGCAGAGTGTGCCAGGTGCGCTCGCGCACGTGGCATTACACATCGGAAACGTGCCGGCGCCCAACACCCTTGTTCGAAAACCACTGTGCAATCGCGGCGGGGTGGCTATCATATCGTTTGGTGGGCCTGCACATAGCGGGCAATATGCCAGTGCCCCCGCCGTCCCATTCAATGCGGGGTGCTCGCGCATGATCCAAATTTTGCCTCTAATTGCATGTTGTATCGTATTTTCAGCGATAAGCCTTTCCCCGCAGGGGGAGAAGGGTGACTGGAAGATGAAACGCTCGAGGACTCATTGTGCCTCGGAGAGGTGGCCCTGGGAGCAAGGCTCCACAGCGTCTTGCAAAGGATCGTGGCCATGGCATCGAAGGCTCGTCGCACTCTGTGGAAGATGTCTCAGGTCAGGCCGGTGGCGACGCCCGCAGTTTTCTCTCTTCTGTCGCCCCTCCGTGCGTGACCCTCACGGCGCACGCGTCTCTGTGGAGCGTCCTTCGGCCAAGTGCCCTGTGCAGGCGCCATTCCACAGGGGGTGGGTATATGCTGATTGGCTGTCTTACTCGTTCATACCACTCACATACTCGACTACGGGCCGTGGCCCTGAGAGGACGAATGAAGGTGTGTACAATGCATCATGGTCTTTGTATCGTAGCACCACCGTACGACAGGACACGCACAGCGTTTCTCGCTGGGAAAGGGGAGCTGCTATGGCCCAGCTGCCTGACATCATTGATTCGGTATACGACGTGAATCGCGATGCGATTCACGCTTCGGGTTGTACACACGAGGTGGGGTGAAGGGTTGAACCGGCGGGGGTCGCCGAACAGCCAACCTTCGGTGTAGCCCCAAAACGGGCAAATCGCGTCAGGCATTTTTCCATGGCGGAGACTCCGAACCAGTCAGTTGTGCATCAGGTTACGCGTTGGGTTCGAAGAGGTGTCTAAGACGGCCAAAAGGGAGTTTCAAAAGGGTGGTGGGAAGTGCGAGACGATTCTCGTCAGGAAGTAAAGGTCGGAGGGGCAGTTTGAGGGAGAAGGCCGCTCGCCAAAGCTGAGCCAGGACCACGTCGGACGACGACGGGGAGCGCGAAGCGATGCCCGCTTGGGCTTACGAGGGAGAGGCGCTGTTGGTTGTTCGGCGGGGGCGCGCGCCGCACCCGAAGGGTAGCGCAGGAAACGCGCCGCGATTCTCGTTGAGGAGTGGAGCGGGGCGGGGGAGTGCGAGGGGGAGGGCCGCTCGGGGTCGCCGAGCAGGGACCCTTTCCGTGTAGTCCCGACACGGGTGTCTCGGGTGAATCATCCTCTCGGAATGGGGACGTTGAGTGATTCGTGTTCGAGGTCTGCTTCGTGGGACCCGAGGGCGGCTCCAGTATTGACCAGGCTCTGAAATTGGCGCCGCCGTGACGTCCTCCAAAGTAAAGGCGTCGAATGCATTGTGTACAAGCCTATTGGAATCCAAGGGGCAACTGAGTCAGCCTACATCTGACACCCGAGGGCCTCCGATGTGGTCGTGGAAGCCGCGACGGGACTCCACCATGCACCAACAGAGGAGAAGAAACATGAGTTTCGACGAGGAAAGAGGGGGAGGAAGAGGAGGGGGAGGAGGAGGAACGATAGATAGGTTGGAGTAGGAGCGCGACGAGTAGCGCGAGGATGAGCGAGGAGGATGAGTGGGGATGATGCGCAATGGGCAGGAGTGAGGAAGAGCGAGATGGAGGATGAGCAGCAATAGGAAGAGGACGAGCGGGAACAAAGACGAACGGGATGAGAGGAACAACTTGCACGAAAAGCAGGAAAGGGGAGGATGAATGGAAAGGAGTGGGAGTAGTAGAAAATTTGGAAGCGAAGGGGAGCAGAGGAATCCATATATACACATACATATATACATATGTATGTGCAAGTAATATATATATATATATATATATATATATGTATGTGTGGTTCATGGTTCTGTCCCCTCCACCACGCTAGCAGTACCGCCAATCCACCCCCGTGGGATATGTGTGGGGTTGTGTTTTTCCTTCACACACACCCGATGGGTGTGTGGTACTGCTGTGCCGTCGTCGTCATAGTCATCGTCGTGCTTTCGTCGTCGCAGTCATGGTCATCTTCGACGTCACCGTCCTCGACTTCGTCGTCGCCGTCTTCGAAGTCACTATCGACGACGTTGTCGCCGCCGCCGCCGTCGTCGTCGTCGTCGTCATCTTCATTGTCGCCGTCTTCGTCGTCGTCGTCGTCCCATCTGCGGGTGGGGCGCCGTGTGGCCCCGGGACCCATCCCATCCAGGGGGTGGAGCACGAGGGCCCTGAGCCCGGGAACGTGTGTGCGTATGTGTGTGTGTGTGCGTGTGTCTCTCCGTGGCCTTGGCTCGGTCGGAAGCCCGGCAGCCCAGAGGCTCGGGCGTCCCGCGAGTTGCTCGGCGCCCGGCAACATCAGCTCATGGCGATGGCGCTCCAGATGCAGAGAGGCAGCTACGCAGGCGGCGCCATCCCGCCGTCGGGGGCTCTGGACACAAACGATCGGTTCTCTTCATCAAAGCGGAGGATGACACCCGAGCTGCTCCTGGACATCTGTAAGGAGAGGTCCATGTGGAGCCAGCCCCACCTGAACACGCAGTTGTGGCTAAACTTCAAGGGCTTCGACGCGATTGAGGGCCTGGAGCTGTACACCCGGGTGCGAACACTGCACCTCGGTAACAACAACATAGGTAGGATCGAAGGGTTGGATAGAATGGCCGATTTGCGCAGCCTCCACCTCGAGGGAAACCGCATTACTTGCATAGAAAATCTGGATAGCAATTTAGAACTGCGGCAATTGAACTTCGAGTCGAATGGGATTACGAGAGTCACTGGGATAGCTCACCTGCAGAAGCTCGAGCAGATCAGTCTTTCTAAGAATTGCATCGAAGATCTAGAGAATCTACGCGAACTCAGATCACTGCCAGGACTGGCCAACATCGATGTGTCACACAATAAAATTGAGGCCGAGTCGGGCGTGGTCGAATTCTGGGCCGAGATGGTCGACACTCTGAAGGTGTTGCGCTACCATGGGAATCCAGGTGTTCGCAACGTGGAGCACTACCGCAAGAGGCTGATCAACGCGCTGCCGCATCTGGGCTACTTGGACGAGCGCCCCGTGAAGCCGGTGGAGCGCCTGTCGTGCTCTGCGTGGGCCGAGGGCGGCATGGAGGCCATGCACAGGGCAAAGGAGGAGTTCTTCAGGTCCCAGCACCAGATGTGCGCCGTGGACCCCGACCGGCGAGAGCTGGTGACGCGGAACCGCCAGGCGGCCATTGCACGCATCGAGCGGGAGGCCAAAGAGCGCGAGGAGGCCGAGGCGCGGCAGCAGGCGGAGCTGGAGAAGGCCGGCGTAGAGGCCACGGCGGCGTCCTCCGGGGACCCGGCCGCGCTGAAGGCGTACGCGGACGCCTGGCAGAAGAAGGTGAGCCTCTACGGTGCCGACGGCGTGCGGGCCCGTGCGTCGCAGGAGGCTGGCTCCAGGACCGTAGGCCTCCCCGATCGGGACGATCGAATTGGTCACGGAAAGAATGGGTACAAAGACCGACAGCAGTGTTTGTCTTTTTTAACAGGACTCGTTGTTGGTGTCGCCGCGGCCTGTGTCCATTTGAGACAGAAGTTCGCCTACCCAACAGCGGCCGCTGTTTGTTTGGGTCAGGACTGTTGCATTGTACCCATATTTTCCGTACCCATTTCGAGCGTTCCAACCAGATGGGGTCGGATGGGCACCACCCAAACATTTTTATATTAGATGTTGGTTGGCAACACAAGGGCGACCAGAAATCTTCTAGTACAGGCTCCTTGGCCTGCGCTTGCTGACCATGCCGCTCGAGAAACGATCTACAAATGATGTTGTGCTATATGTTCGGGTCAGACGTGCGTCTCCAACAGAGGCACATTGTATTAAGATGTACTTGTGGGCCCCATCGGAGTAGGTAGGGCCGGAGGATTGCGCCGCATCGCCAGTGCATCGGCGATGCGGCTCGATGTGGAGCCTGACTTTCCCCACGCCGACGTCGCCGATGCGTCGCCGACGTCGCCAGTGCATTGCCGGTGTAGCGGCGATGCATCGACGAGGCGGCGCGGTCTTTTGGCCCCACCTATCCGGACCCCCAGCTGGGAGACCTCGACCGCAAAGGGTCTTCAATGCTTCCCTCCCCCCCCCAAGCTCTCGGCTGGAAATCAAACTCGTCCTCCCCCTCCTCGTCCCTCCCCTCCTCGCCCTTCTCCTCATCGTCGTAGTAGTAGTAGAAGAAGAAGAAGAAGTATAAGTAGTAGTAGTAGTAGTAGTAGTTGTTGTTGTAGTAGTAGTAGTAGTAGCAGTAGCAGTAGTAGTAGTAGTCGTAGTCGTAGTAGTAGTAGTAGTAGTAGTAGTAGTAGTAGTAGTAGTAGTAGTAGTAGTAGTAGTAGTAGTAGTAGTAGTAGTAGTAGTAGTAGTAGCAGCAGTAGCAGTAACAGTAGCAGTAGCAGTAGCAGTAGTAGCAGTAGCAGTAGCAGTAGCAGTAGTAGTAGAAGTAGTAGTAGTAGTAGTAGTAGAGAAGTAGTATTAGTTGTAGTAGTAGTAGTAGTAGTAGTAGTAGTAGTAGTAGTAGTAGTAGGAGGAGTAGGAGTAGGAGTAGGAGTAGGAGTAGGAGTAGGAGTAGGAGTAGGAGTAGGAGTAGGAGTAGGAGTCGGAGTCGGAGTAGGAGTAGGAGTAGTAGTAGTAGTTGTAGTCGTAGTCCTAGTCCTAGTCCTAGTCCTAGTCCTAGTCCTAGTCCTAGTCCTAGTCCTAGTCCTAGTCCTAGTCCTAGTCCTAGTCCTAGTCCTAGTCGTAGTAGTAGTAGTAGTAGTAGTAGTACTAGTACTAGTACTAGTACTAGTACTAGTACTAGTACTAGTACTAGTACTAGTACTAGTACTAGTACTAGTACTAGTAGTAGCAGTAGCAGCAGTAGCAGTAGCAGTAGCAATAGCAGTAGCAGTAGCAGTAGTCGCGTTCGTCGTGGTAGTCGTAGTCGTAGTCGTAGTCGTAGGAGGCGTCGTAGTCGTAGTCGTAGTAGTTTTGATTGTCGTAGAAGGAGTAGTAGTAGTAATAAGTAGTAGTAGTAGTAGTAGTAGTAGTATCTAGTATGTAGTATGTTGTATGTAGTATGTAGTATGTGGTATGTAGTATGTAGTAGTATGTAGCAGTATGTGGTAGTATGTGGTAGTATGTGGTAGTATGTGGTAGTATGTGGTAGTAGTAGTAGTAGTAGTAGTAGTAGTAGTAGTAGTAGTAGTAGTAGTAGTAGTAGTAGTAGTAGTAGTATGTAGTAGTATGTGTAGTAGTAGTAGTAGTAGTAGTAGTAGTAGTAGTAGTAGTAGTAGTAGTAGTAGTAGTAGTAGTAGTAGTAGTAGTAGTAGTAGTAGTAGTAGTAGTAGTTAGTAGTAGTAGTAGTAGTAGTAGTAGTAGTAGTAGTAGTAGTAGTAGTAGTAGTAGTAGTAGTAGTAGTAGTAGTAGTAGTAGTAGTAGTAGTAGTAGTAGTAGTAGTAGTAGTAGTAGTAGTAGTAGTAGTAGTAGTAGTAGTAGTAGTAGTAGTAGTAGTAGTAGTAGTAGTAGTAGTAGTAGTAGTAGTAGTAGTAGTAGTAGTAGTAGTAGTAGTAGTAGTAGTAGTAGTAGTAGTAGTAGTAGTAGTAGTAGTAGTAGTAGTAGTAGTAGTAGTAGTAGTAGTAGTAGTAGTAGTAGTAGTAGTAGTAGTAGTAGTAGTAGTAGTAGTAGTAAGTGATAAGTAGTAAGTAGTAAGTAGTAAGTAGTAAGTAGTAAGTAGTACGTAGTACGAAGTAGTAAGTAGTAGTAAAGGAGGAGGAGGAGGAGGAGGAGGAGGAGGGATTAGAAAGAGTGAGCGTGCGAGTACGATGACGACGACAGCGGCTTTGATCACGAGGCCGGTGGAGACCCCAGCAGTGGCCGCCGCGGGGGGACAGTTGGTTTCCCAGAGGCGTTTTCGGTCCCAATCTGTCAATGAGCCCGCGCAAAGAAACAGTTCCCATTTTTTCCTGAGGGGGGGCATTGAAGACGCATCTCTGAGGACGCCCGCCCTGAGCTCCACCTCCCCCGATTCTGCCGCCTACGGCTTCGCCCCGCCGCAGCGCGGCGGCGGCGGAGCCCCAGACGGGCCACCGCGAGACGCGCCGAGCGTCAGCGCTCACGGGCTGAGGAGGTGCCACTTGCAGCAGAAGGGCGCCTCCGACTTCCTCGCGGGCGGGGGCGCAGGGCCCGGCCACGACGCCGAGGGACCCGAGGAGCGGCAGTTTGCTGCCCTCGGCGACGACCCTTGGAAAGAGTGTGCCGCCCTCAACGGTTGGGGCGCGAGCGGGGCCGCAGGCCAGCGGGGCGGCCAGCGCGGCAGCGGCGGCGGCGGCCAGGACGAGGTCGTGCCAGACATCTGGCAGAAGCTCGCGCCGGCGGCCAAGATGGCCGAGATGCAGATGCTGGAGCAGAGCATTGGGCGCTCGGCTCCCGTGGACGCCCCTTCCGCGGCCGACAGGCCTCGGGAGACACCGCCGGCCGCGGCGGACGAGCTGAACTCCCTGGACTGACTGTGCCTTGTTGGCGCGAGTGGGCCGGAGGCTGGCACTGACCGTCGCTCGGTCCGCAGCTCCCCCCACCAAAACAAATATGCCCTGATGTGGTCGGAGGATCGTTCCGCATCGACGATGCGGCTCGATGTCTGGCCCCACTTTCTCCACGCCGATGGCGCCGATGCATCGCCGACGTCGCCGCTGCATCGCCGATGCATTGGCGGTGCGGCGCGATACTCCGACCCCATCTACTCGGACCCCATCTAGGAGGCCGATATCCGCGCTCACTCGGGCGCTGCAGCCGCCAGTCATATTGCGCAGATGTGTATCGTCGGTGTTGCACTTTTGGCAGGCTGCCTGGAGGCAGGCGGGCAAGACTAGCAGTCCGTGCCGGGGGAGGGCCTTGCATGTTCGCTTGAGGGTTGCCTTGGACGGGAGGGCGCTGCAGCACGCAGTGGCGTGGCACACATCAGTGCCTCTTCCTCCTCCTCCTCCTCCTCCTCCTCCTCCTCCTCCTCCTCCTCCTCCTCCTACCTCGGTGCCCGCACTTCTTGGCACGGAAAGGTTGGGCGGGCCGCTGGATTCTATCCGATGCTCAAGGCTCAAATCAGCGGCAGAGCGCATGCCCCTTTTCACAATCGTGAGTCTTGCCTCCTGGGCTGCCTCGCAGTGGGGCGCGATGGGCCCCGTGCTGGGCGCTGCTGGCTAGTGTGCCTTCGCTGCCAACCTGACTGGAGGACTGCCTGGGCTGCTGGTGGCTATCGGCGGCGTTGGCTTCCTCCTGGGGTTCAGCTGCGCTGCCATCGATGGCTGCCCGTGTGCTCAGCGGGCTCGAGACAGGACGGCGGATCTGCGTGCTCTGGAACAACGGAGAGGACTGGCAGGTGAGGGTGCTGCTCACGCCCGTGACTGCGGGCTACCTCGACGAGGTGATGGGCATCACCACCATCGACGATCCCGAGATGAAGAGCAGGATCTGGTACGCAGCCCCGACGGCGACACGTACCCTCATCTCCTCGCAGCCCCTCCTCTGGCCGGTCTGTGCCTCGCCGATTCGACGGACTGCTTCGACCCGACCCTCGGCGAAGGCAGGCGATGGTCCCGGCGCTCGAGGACATACGGGGAGGACTGGGCGCCCACGCCGCTCGAGTTCAGCCGGGCCCTTCGCTTCGCCGTGATGGGCGACTCCGACGGCTCAGCCCCCGCCCACCGCATGACTAGGGAGAAGCCGATGGCAGCGGGCGGGGTGAAAGCTCTGACAGTGGCGACGGACTCTTCAGCCACTCGGGGTCGACCAGCGGGTACTGAGGTCGAGGTCGGGGCGGGCATGCTCGAGAACCCCGCCCCGTTGGTCTGGCAGGTGATCTGCATGTCGGACGGCGCCTTGGGCCCGCAGACGCTCGAGGACTACCGCGTCGACAGCTGGGCCACCATCGGCGACTTCGGGGTCGCCAAGGTGGGCGGGCGCATCTTCCTCTTCCGCGCGGCGACAAGAAGACGGCCTCGGAGGGAGGGGCCGACCTGGACGCTAGAGCGATGCCCGTGCTGGAGAACCACTCCGGCGAGCGGAAGCGCGTCTTCCGCGACGCGGTGAAGCTGTTGCAGGAGTCGCAGTGGAGCCACTGGCCTGTCCGCGGACCGTGGACGGTCAAGTGGTGCCTGGAGTTCCTCGGGGAGCAGGACATGCACCCGAAAGCCCGCCACGCCAAGTGGAAGGCAGAGCGCCGCCTCCAGAGCGGCGACGCCGGCGTGTCCGACCACGAGCTGGCGATGAGGATGTTCGAGGTGGCGGTGGCGCACGACCAGCTCATGGCGTCGGAGCTGGCCTGATTCGAGCACCTCGCCCGGCGGGCCCAGATGGCGGAGCGGGGACACCGCCGCCTGGTGGCGGGCGGGGGCTCTGAGGTCGACGCGGTGGAGGGCGAGCACCTCTACATGGGGACGGCGGAGACGCGTGGGCTGCGCACGGTGGCCCCCGAGCTGCAGCGCCACATCACGGAGGAGCTCCACATGGAGGCGGCCATCCTCAAGGAGCGGCGCAAGCTGCGGGGGGAGAGGGCCACCGCGCGCGGCCCTGGCGGCGGCGCCCTCGGCAGCGGCGGGGCCCCCGCCGCGCTGGGGAGCAAGAGCAATAACCGAGCGGACTAGATCAAGCGCCTGCAGGCGCGCCTTGGCGACCGGCCGGGCGACGCAGAGCTCGACGGCGGCAAGGGCGGCGGCCGCGGGCGCGGGGGCAAATGATGAGCACTGCTTGGGAGCTCTTGCCGGTGGAAGCTCCCGGAGACGGCGGGCGCACAGGGAGGGCCACCCGCGGCTGCCGCGCCGTGCGCTCGAGACACCGGCAGTCCGAGCACGCCCGCGACTGGGAGTGCGAGGTCCACGAGGCGCTGAACGGCCTCTACTCACATGGCGCGCCAGATGGCGACCAGTTTTTGTCGAGTGCGCAGGAGGCTGGCGCACAGCACGTGAAGGACGTGATCTCGTCCGTCGGCCCGCCCCGCATCGCCCCCTGCGCAGCCTTCACTGAGCTGCGCGGGCACGCTCCCGGCTACGCCCAGATGCCGGAGATTCGCACGCCCTTCCAGCGGGACCTCGTCTCGCTCCCCCGCGGGGGCCGCGCCCTCTGCGACGGCTTATTGCTCTTGGAGGGAGTTGCGCGCGACGAATGGATGGTTTGGAAAGACCGGCTGACGCGCCCGTTTTCAGACATGCTCCCTGGGAGCGGGTCAAGCCTTACAATGATCCGAAATTGGTTCGATCGCAGCCCCCCCTGGCTTCTTTCTTGCTCGACCTCTACGATTCTAATTTGCTGTGCTTCGGGCCGGAGCAGTCGGCCACAGTTGGGATGTCCTTCGTGCTGAAGTCCGACAAAGTTCGGCAGCGCTTGATATTCGACACCAGGGCCGCGAATCAGGACTTCGCCGACCCGGGCTACACGCAGCTCCCCACCGCGGGCGCCTGGAACGGCCTCACGCCGAGGCCAGGCGACAAGCTCTTCCTGTCCCAGGTCGACGTTGACAACGCGTTCTACAGGATCCTGCTGCCGCCTGGGCTGAGCCGGCGCTTCGTCTTGCCGGCGGTCAGCCGGCGTGCCTTGCTGGCGGCGCGCCCGGGGCTCGTGCTCCCGGAGGGGGGCGAGATCTCGGGCTTCCTCCGCGTGCTGCCGATGGGGTGGACGTGGAGCCTTTACTTCTGCCAGTCCATGGTGGAGACCGCCGTGCGGCGGTCGGGGTTCCCCGACAGCCGCCTCGTGAGGGATCGCCACACCACCCTGGACGTCCGCTCGGGGAAGGTTGCCGCCGTGTACGTCGACGGCGCGGCGATCCTCGGCACGGACTCCACCATGGTCGACCAGCGCTGCCAGGACGTGACGCGCTGCCTGCAGGACCACGGGCTGATCTGCAAGGGCGTGGAGCGCTCGGGGGGCTTGCAGAAGTTCACAGGCCTCAACTTCGACGTGGAGACGGGCAAGATCTCCCTGGGCCGCGGGCGGCTCTGGCGGCTTCGGCTCGGTCTGCTGTGCGCGGCCGACCAGCGGCACATCACGGGGGGCGACTTGCGCCGCCTGGTGGGCCACTTCACGTGGGCGGCGCTGGTGCGCCGCGAGCTGCCGGCGATCTTCGACAGCGTCTACCCCTTCGCCGATCGCGCCGGCAGCTGCCAGTGGCGGATGTGGGCCAGCGTCGAGCTCGAGCTGCGCCGGGCGGCCGCCTTGGTCTGCTTCTGCTTCGTGGACCCGAAGAGGCCCCTGGCGTCTGACATCTACGCCACCGACGCCTCGGGGAGCTCGGGCGTCGACGCCGGCGGGCGCGGCGTCATGGGCCGGGGCAGCGAGGCGGACGTGGTCCAGCGCCTGGCGTGCCAGGCCGAGCGCTGGAGGTACAACGTCATGGACGCCATCACCGCTTGGTGCCACATGCTGGGCGCGGAGGCCCCGATGGCGCGCTGCAGCCGCGCCGCCAGGAAGGGCGACTCCGACTTCCTGGCGGCGACGGCCGCGGACATCGGCGCCTTCGACGACTGTGGCCTGAAGGTGAAGGGCAGGTTGCGCATCCAGGACAACGTCATGAGGGCGGAGGGCCGTGCTGTCATCTTGGCGGTGAGGCACCACTTGAGGCGGGTCTCGGCTCAGTGCCACCGCCTCGTCGTACTGTGCGATAATTTGTCCGTCGTGCTTGCGCTCGGCAAAGGAAGGCCCCCCTCGCCTCGCTCCATGCGCACCTGCAGAGAGATGCTTGCACTCAGCCTCTTGGGAAACTTGGTTGTGGCCGTGAGATGGATTGCCTCGGAGCTCAACCCGTCCGACAGGCCGTTTCGGCCCAAGTCCGCGATCACCAACGACGCCCGCCTCGACCCGCGCAGTGCCTGGTACGATGCTGAGACGGCTGCCCGCTGGGCTGCCGAGCGCCGGGGCCAGGCCGTCGACGAGCTCGTCAGGGACGAGGTCGGCGACATCCACGGGCTGGGAGGGCTGGGGGGCTGCTTCCTCGCGGACCCTACGCCGGGCGGCCCCCGAGGCTCCGCCTCGGCCACCGCCGGCGGTGCGGACGCTGCCCTCAGCTGGGAGGACTCGGACTCTGACGACGATCCAGTTGAGCTTGCTGAATGCGCGGGCGCAGGGGGGCGCCACGTCCAACCTCGCGGCCGCGGAGAGGCAGGCGCAGGGGCGGGCGCGGCGCCGCCGGGCGGCGGCTGGGCGGCGGCCGACGCGGCCGCTGGCCACGACCTTCTTGGAGGCCGCGAGGGTGTCCGACAGGCAGGCTCGGACGTATGCCTCGCTCCGCCAGGCCTTCTTGGAGTGGGCCCGCCGCCAGGGCTGCGCCACTCGGACGACGAGCGAGCTCGACATGGCGCTCGCCAAGTACCTCGACATGCTGTACTTCGGGGGCTTCAGCCAGTCGCGCGGCCAGAAGACCGTCGCGGCCCCACGCCACTACCGGCCCGAGTGTGAGCTCAACGGGCCCCACGGCTTCGTGCGCACGCGGGCCGCGCTAAGCGGCTTCCGCCGCCGAGCGCCTGGCGGGACGCGCCGACCGCTGCCTCGCCCAGCCTACCTGGCCATCCTCGGGGCGGCGCTGCACTTCCGCCTGAAGGAGTTCGTGCTCGCCCTCGTGATCGCGTGGGACGGGTTCCTGCGGCTGCCGACCGACGTCGTGGAGATGGGGGGGGGCAGCTTGGTCGCTCCGCCTCCTCTGCCGGCGCCCTGGCGCGGGGGTTGTTGCTCTTCCCGTCCGAGGCCGCGCGGCCGAGCAAGGTCGGCCACTTCGACGAGGGGGCGCTGCTCAGAGGGCGAGAGACCAGCCTGCCGGACGCGTCCCTCCACGCACTCAAGAGGGGGTCGACGCCGTCCGGACGCCTGTGGAGCCTCGACTCAGCCGAGTTCCGGAAGCTGCTCGCACGGCGCGCCTCCCTCGCCAACCTGGACCACATGAAGCCCTACCAGCTGCGGCACGGCGCGGCGCCCCACGCCGCGCTGGTAGGCGAGCTCGCACCCGACCAGATCCAGGAGAGGCTGCGGCACTTGCAGGCCACCAGGTACCAGCGGCACACGCGCTACCTCGCCGAGTGGTCGCGGCTCGAGCCCCCCCCTGCTGCAGTACGCCAAGGGCCTGGATGGGGCAGCTCCTCACGCACTACCTGCGAGGCGCGCCGCCACCCCCAGGGGCAAGGCGGGCGGCCTGAGGAGCGGCGCCGTCTGGCGCGCTGGAGACACCCTTGGCCTGCGCGAAGGCGCGGGCTCGGGCCGCAGCAGGTCGGCCGCTGTCTCCGATGCTTTGCGACATGTTCTGAAGCAGGGGCCCTCTCACGCCGTGGCCAACCTCGACCTTTTTGCGGGGGCCGGCGCCGTCGGCTGATGGCTCCGCCGGCACTCTGCGCACAACGTTCTACGACTGGATTTGAAAGATAATCCTGCTTTCGACCTCAGCTGCGCAGCTGTCTGTAGGACGCTGTGTGGCTGGATCGGGTCGCGGCACGTCCGCGGCCTCTTCGTTGCATTCCCGTGCAGCACCTGGTCGAGAGCCAGCCGTGGCCGCTATCGTTCAGCATCCTGTATCCACGGCTGGCCTGACCTCGACCCAGCTGGTCTCCGAAATTGTCTTTATGGGAATCGCACCCTTCTTACTACAGCGCGCCTCGTCCGAGCTGCCGTGTGTGCGGGGGTGCCTGTAATCGTCGAGAACCCTTATACCGGCATGGCCTGGCTGGAACCCAGTCTCGCCTCTCTGATGTGCCTCAGTAGCTGCACCACCACAGTATGTGATTTCTGCCAATTCGGTAAGCCTTGGAGGAAAAGGACGCGCCTCGCCGGCTGGAATGTGATCTCTCCGCCCGCCGACCTCCTTCGGACTTGTGGGGGGGAGCGCGGGATCTGCTCACGCACCGGCCGGCGGCACATCGTCCTGGAAAGACGACAGGCCAATTTCGGCCAGATGACAGCCGCCGCCGAAGCCTACCCAGTCAAATTCGCTGCTGCCGCTGCTCGGTGGCTCCGCGATTCGGCGAACGCCATCGAGACCGTTCGCCTCAATCAGCTAATCGTCTAGCTTGCTCCCAACGCCTCCTGTCCAAAACATCGTTTTGTGTCTCAGATTTCTAAGTGCATGCGGCTCTGTCAGTACTCTTGTAAGGGAATTCGGGATGTTGTGCGCCTCGGTCTGAAGCTCCTCAGTGCAGTGTTGTTGCGATGCTCTGGTCTGCCCACACAGAAACAAGAACATCGTCACCCTGGCCTGTCCTCCCCGTGCCTACCTCGGTGCCCGCACTTCTTGGCACGGAAAGGTTGGGCGGGCCGCTGGATTTTATCTGATGCTCTAGGTTCCTCCTCCCCCTCCTGCCACCTTGTATAGCCTTGAATTGAAGCTGGGATGTTGTGCGCCTCGGTCCGAGGCTCCTCAGTGCAGTGCTGTTGCGATGCTCTGGTCTGCCCACACAGAAACAAGAGCATCGTCACCCTGGCCTGTCCTCCCCGTGCCTCCTCCTTCTCCTCCTCCTCCTCCTCCTCCGCCTCCTCCTCCTCTTCCTCCTCCTCCTCCTCCTCCTCCCTCTCCTCCTCCTCCTCCTCCTCCTCCTCCTCCTCCCCCTCTCCTCCTCCTCCTCCACATCGCTGTCTGGACGTGCGCGGCCAATGAGGGCCTCGAGGTCTTTGCTGGTGACCCCTGGATTTCCTGGGCCCCTGCCGGGCTCGAACAGGACCCTGCTCTGTGGCTGCGCGGCGCGCCCAGCCTCTCCACCGCCGCGCCCTCCTTGGCGCCCTGGGCCAGGGGGGGTGGGTGGAGGTGGTGGGCCCCGATGCTCGTGGAGAGCCCTCGTGGGTGGCCCGCAGGGGCCCTGGCGTTGGACGCCTTTTTCTTTTGGGATGGCTCTGGGAGGGGCCCGTTCGGAAGACGCCAACAGGCGAAGGTGCGGGTGGCCCGCGGCAGCGCCGATCCCCGACGGCTGGGGGGGGGGGGGCGCTCTGGAGTCTTTGGCCCCTTTGGGGGCGGGCGGCAGGCAGAGCTGCGCTCCGAGCAGATGGCCCTTTGCGTTGCTGTAAACAGAGGCTTGGGCGCCCTAACTTTTGTTACCAGCCATAAGTCACTTTTTCATGGTTGGCGATAGGGTTGGGCCTGTAGGTCGCTTGGAGCCTGGATGCGACGCGTTAAGTATGCTGATGTTTGGGTTCGGTTGCGCAGGGTTTTGGAGTAAACGCCAGCGCGCGATGTGGTTTTGGTGTGGAGTCGCACCAGGATGAATCTCCTGAGCTCATCGTCAGTTCTTATGTTGCCCGAGGCAACCCTGTCGCGGATACATGGGTCGCTAGAGGAGCGGCCAAGAATTGGATTGTTGCCCAGACCCCAGTCCCCCCCCAGCGATCAGTTGAATTTCGTCACAGCTCTTGTGCGCGCCCGTGCGAGAGCAATCATCCGTGCTATTGGCGCGGACAATCAAAGTCCTTCGGGGGGAGAGGGTTGGGGTCCAGAGGCAGCCCCAGCAGTCCACCCGCCCCCTAGCCCTCCAAACCTACTCCCACCGCTTTGAGAAGTGCGGCGATAAGTGGCGTTGCTCGCTGTGTGCCCAGCTTGTCGATGATTGTAGGCTTGGCGCCACTACCCTCTCCCCCTGCCCAGGTCCCGCCTCTCGCCCTTGGCCTGCCTGGGGTGGGGGATCGTATTGGGGAGGCGGTGTTGGTGGAGGCGGGTGGGAGGTAACTTCGGGGCCAGTCGGCCCGCCCTTCGCATTGCCTGCTGGAGATCCCGCGCCAGCGAGTGATCTCCTGCTCGTCTCACTGGTGCCATGCGACCTTCCAGTATGTGAGTTTGCCCCAGCCATGCGTGGAGCCGACGGCCAGGGAAAAGGCGGTCCTTGCTCGTGTGCCCAGGGGCTCGCATCCCTCCCACGGGGGCCCCTCGAAAGCCATCCGCGAGGCAGCCCACTCGGACGCTGCCCAGGGCTCGGGATTTCGCGCCGGAGAGGGGCTCGCAGCCACCTGGGCCCCCGCTCGAAGAAGATGGTGGCCACCTCTCCCTGGGCCCTCCTCCTCCTCCTCCTCCTCCTCCTCCTCCTCCTCCTCCTCCTCCTCCTCAAGCCCCCTGGATGAAGTTTCTGATGATGATGAGGAGGAGGAGGAGGAGGAGGAGGAGGAGGCCATCCAGGCTGGCTCCGAGGAGGACCCGAGGACGCGCGGAGGAGAGGCGGTGGGTGCGCCAGCGTCGTAAGGTGCGGGATCGAGCGAGGAGGCGAGGGTGTTCCGTGCTGTGCCCGCGGAGTTGCGTGCGCCCGCGCCGTCGCTTCCTTGCACCCCATCGGACTCCTCCGATTAGGCTGCGTTGGCCTCTTTCCCCCACGGCCCTGACTCGTTGCGCACTCAGTCAATGTAGGCCTCCCCTGGCTCCCCAGCCCTGGCCTCCCGGACAGCCATGGCCTCCCCTGGCCGCCCTGCCCCCGCACCCTACCCTTTCCTTCCTCCCAGCCTTCTGCATGGTCGGCACAACCCTCGCACGTTTCGTAACACCATAGGGAGCTCCACCGAAGGCCCCAGTGGCACAGTCCGCATGGCGTACCCGCATCGGATCCAGCACACTGCTCACACGAGTCGTGGCTTCATAGGGAGCTCCACCGAAGGCCTTAGCGGCAGAGTCAACATAACGCACACGCGCCCGATTCGGCACACATCCCACACGGTTCGTGGCCCCATATGGAGCTCCACCGAAGGCCCCAACGGCAGAGTCCGCATGCCGTACACGCATCGGATTCGGCACACCCCTCACATATTTCGTAGCCCCATAGGGAGTTCCACCGAAGGCCCCACGGGCAGAGTCCACATGGCGTACCCGCATCGGATCCAGCACACTGCTCACACGCGTCGTGGCCCCATAGGGAGCTCCACCGAAGGCCCCAGTGGCCCAGTCCGCATGGCGCGCCCGCGCCCGATTCGGCACACCCCTCGCACGTTTCTTGCATGGCGCACCCGCGCTCGAGACTGCACACTCCTCACACGTCTTGCGGGCATGCTTCGTGGCTCCGCAGGCACCTCTACCGAAAACGACCCACTATTGCGACACGCTCGAGGGCACACTGCTGGGCCCCTCGCCCGGATACCTGCCGTCATCGACGTCGGACCTCCCCGACTCCGTGCACCTGGCCCCCACGCTTCTCCTCGCCCCCGCCACTGCCCCGTGCAACGGCCAGGGTACGGACCAGGGATGCCGCTCCTTTTGCTCTGGCATCAGGCAACCAGCTTCGCTGATCTTGTATAGGTCGATAAATGGAGAGGAAACATGCTGTCAAACAGTTTCCAGATTTCTAAACAGTGATTCAAACATGCTTTAGATATTAAAACATGTTTGAAACATGTGCTGCACATGTTTTACACAATTGACACACATGTTTAATTCAATGATAGGATTGTGAGAGTGTCCATTGTCATGGCATCCACAACGCCAATCAGGTTTGGTAAGTTGAACGACCATCCTGACCTCGCATTTTTATCTCGTACAGCCAATCCTCGTTCCAGTCAAAGTGCTGACATGCGAACTGCCTCGCGCTCAGGAAGGGCGCTGACTTCCAGACCGCTCTTCGATCCAGGTCTGGGGCCCTCCTCGTGGCTGGGGCTCGCCGTGGCCGCAAGAGTTCGCTCGTTCCTTCCCGGGCGTTCCTTGAGGAAGGGTCAGGAAGGTGTTGGCCCTGCGCGCGTGGCTGCGGAGGGAGCGGCGCCAGGCGAACTATCACGAGTTCCGCTGCGCAGACGGCCGCTCCTTCTGCTTCTGTGCATCTGTCAGCACCCTCAGCACGTGCCGCCGCGGACGTTTGGACGGCGTGTCGCTCCGCCGGTTCTGGCCGGCAACGGTTCCGGCGCGACAGGTTATCCACATTCCAGTCCCCACGCGTCCGTGTCCTAAGTTTATCCGAGCTTCCCGCCCCGCGGAGCGGAGCGACACGCTGTCGGCTTGCAGGGCATGGCGTGTCGCCGGGGCCGCCGCTGCGACACGCCAGGCTGAAGTTCCTGACCGTGTGCTTGGACGCGTGGCTCTCTCCTGATCTTTGCTTAGGTGAAGAGCTTGCAACATGTTTCAGCAACGTTAGTGCCATCACGGCCATCAGCTCGTGAATCCTGAATTTCATTGCAGGCATGCACGAGCACGTTTCTATCGGTGGGCTGGTTCGGCGAAGGAGGAGACGGCAGTCGTGGTAGGAGTGGGAATCGGTGCGATTGCGAGGTAACGGCAACAGCATCTTGGGATGTGTCGTATCAAGATTACCGCTTTATTACGTATGCCGCCGATCCCGTCTTTTTCTGACAAAACGTGTTACCAGCACATGCCACCTGCCCAGACGGATAGGAATTGATGTCATCGAGTTCAGGTAAAACACGCAGGGTAATGCGAGTAAGGATTCGCGAGTGCCGACAAAGTCCTGGCTCACCGAAGACTGGAGCAGTCCACAGAAGCGAGAGGCCTGGAGGTTCTGTCGCAGGCCTAGAGGTTGACACCAACACCAATATAGGCGGTGTGCCTACACCGAGGCAAGAAGTTCCCGATCACGGTGATGGTGGTAATACTCTGGCTTCCAAGGTGACCGACATATTACCACCAACACCGAAATCTAGGATCCTTTCCCCCCTGTGGAGACAACCCCCCTGTGTTGGTGTTGGTTCCCATTTCCAGGCCTCCGATTCTGGGGTTTGAGGAGGAGAGGGAAGAAGAAATCGAACCCTCCCCGATGCGTGCTGGGCCGAGCTCCGATGATGACTTCGAGGCGGAGCCAGCCGCAGCGACGAAGGGGGCCGCGCGAAGGCCCAGAAGAGCAGGAGGAGGGGCACGCGGCGGGGGGGGGGGGGAGGACGAGGAGTTGAACCAACCAAGGCCGGGCGAGTAGTGTGGCCGGTAAAAGTTTCAAGCAGTGGCGAAGCGTCCCAGCTCGCCTAAAGGCCTACCAAAGAATGTTCTAATGTGTGGGTCGCACGAAGTGTTCTAAGAGCATTTCTGGCTGGGACCGTCTTGTTTTAACACATGGGGGTTATGTTTTCAGAACATTGTTTTTGTTATTAGAACATTTCTGGGTTCTAAGTTCTAAAAACGTGTCGTGGTAGGTCTATAGAAATGCCGGGACGGTCGGTCCCTGCTCAAGAAAGGTGAGGTATGGATTCTGGGTTCGGCGACGGCCGATTCCCGATGCGGGCATTGGATGCACAAAGGTTTTCAGAAAGAGCGCAATCCTGTGCACGTGCCAGCCTGCAGTCGGGGCGCTGAAGAAGGAACCCTCTGCGCTGGGGAAGGGCCCCGTGTTCCTGGACTGTTTCACAGCTTGCCTTCGGCTTTCCTCGGGTGGTCGAGGGGCAATCGAAGGGCAGCCTACTGAAAAAGGGGCCTCGCTCCTCGCTTAGGCTTCCTCGGGCGAGCGCCCCGACTGCACCCTGCAGCCCGGTACCGCGCCGCGCCGCCGCGGGCCGCACCGTCTGCCCGCCGCTGGCCTTCGCGCCTGGGACGTGATCTGCGTGCCGCTGCAGTCGTTTCCCCTCTGGATGCCGGCAGAGGGGTCGGTGTCTCTCCGGTCCCTCCGCTCGGGTGTTGCCAGAAGTGCCCCTGGCCCAAAGTTCCCCGAGCTTTTCGCTCCATTTTGGAGCCTCTGGGCCTCGTGAGGGGTTCCCTGGAGGCCGTCTGGGCCACCCCGAGAATCCTGGGGGTACCTTGGGCCAGGGGTACTTCAAGCAACACCCGATCCGCGGGCTTGCCTCCTGGGCGCTGCTCACGCATGCAGCGAGGCACGCTGGATGTCCTGTCCGAGCGAGCACCGCTCCCCGAAGCCCACTCGTGGGCATTCCAGCGACTGGCTGGCCAGTGGACTGCGGTTGCTAGTGCTATCAAGTGTTTGTGAATGTGTGTTGGTGTATGTTGTGGTTGCGACGTATTCGATGACGGTATGGGTTGCGTGTCGAGCCACAGTGTACGATATTGGTGTATGGTGTTGATGCGTGCGAGTTAGTTGTGTGGTTGTTATTCATATTCCAGCTTCTCCTCCTCCTTTGCCTCTGTCTCATCTCCCTTGCGTCGCCGCCACTGTGACTCGCAAGGGCCCTTGAGCAACTTAGCGCGCAGGCGACGGGCGCGCCATGGCCCCCGTAAAAGGAAAGAGAACGCGTTTTCTCTCTTAGCACGGGTCCCCCTAGTTGTAATACGTGTCTTTCTGTATTCCATACAGCTATTCCAATACATTCCACAGTGGCAGCGGAGCGCGTTGTTCCGATCCACGAGGGGAGTCAGGCTGACTCTCCCGCAACCCGACTTTCTGGTGACCATACATGTATGATTCTCAAGTTTTTCCCGTTTCTTACCATTTTGTGCCGAGCGCCGCCATAGACCTCCCAGCCGACGCTCAGCTACCTGAAGACGAATTTCTGGATGACCCTTGGTTTCCACCATGACAGGATCCCTGGGCAGGAGGTGGAGGACGAGGAGACGTCCCCTTGGACGGTGATGACGAGGCGGGCTGGTCAGATGAAGACTGGGCCCGCTGGCTCTCACAACCCATGACAGATACACAGCCCAATACGCAATCACCCCCCTCAAGTTGGAACTCGCGGGGTCGTAGCTCGCCAGCTGCATCAGTTCGGTTGAACACGCTTTTTGCCGGGTCAGGCTACGCCGATTACTCCGACTTACTGGGGAGACGCTACTGCCCGATCTTCTGGTCGTCAGAGGGCAGGGGGGGCAAATTTTTGAACAACCGGAGGCCCCCAATATACCGAATGATTTACCTCCCACGTGGGAAGGAACAGATCGTGATACCCGACTGGGTCCTTACATGAAGGAGCTGCAGACGTGGCTCACGACTACCAGAACCCTGAAAAGGCAACATGGATACCTCATCTGCCGTTACGCCATGGACGACCTCAATATCACTATCGCGAACGAGTTTCGAAATGAGTTCGGCATGCCATGAACCGAGGAATCCAAGTCACGACGATCACGGAGCAAAGCCCCCGACCTGGACATCATCACCATGGCCGGTGCAAAATCTCTTTACGATTGCATCAATCGGGAACGGCTCGCTTCGACCGAGAAGCGATCAGTCTTGAAGATTGCCAGCATTCGGGATTATCTGGGGAACCTCGGACGCGGCAAAGTCCACGATTCAGCAGATGCAGCAGGAGATGGCGGAGGCCGAGACGATGCGAGCCCAGAGCGAGAGCATGGACCCGATGCAACAGGAAGAACAGCCCGCTGAGAGCGAGAAGAGTTGACGCTGGTGCCCGGACGACCTGATCTACAACCTGGCATTGAAGAGCCGAGCTCGACAGACGGCGGATAATCGAGATCAGGGCCCCAACGCTGCCGTCGACGAGCAGGCGGGCGAGATGCTCGCAGTTCAGCAGCAGTACAAGAGATGCCCTACTCTTCATTGTGGATGAAGCTGCTGACGCCCACGCCCGTCGACGAAGCTATCCAGACGGCCGCGTCGTGTAACGCGCGGGGCATCGACATCGCGGTGAACAACCTGACGGACGCGGCCGAGGAGAATAAGCGCGTGCATGCACATGGCTTTTTTCGCCGCGCGCGCGAGGGACAGGGTCGAAGACCCCGCGAGTCCTCGCCGCGTGGAAAAGTTCGCTTGGCGGGATGTCAGCGACCTGCCGAGCTGGATTCCCGCGGCGTTGGCTCTCGTCAACAACGCGAACGACGCCGACCGAGGGCTGGCAAGAACTTCTGGTATGAACCCCAGGAGGAGAAGAAGCTAGTCAACGACAGCTGGGGGGAGCCGGTGGAAGACGGCGATCTCGCACTCCAGGACCTCATGGAGCGGATCGCGGAACGTGGCAAGCAGGGGCAGGGCGAGGAGATGAAGCGCCTTCTCCTCAGTTGCCGAGAGGCGGCAACCGCCGTGGAGTTTTTGAAAGGATACGCGGGCGCTACTCCTCAAGCTGAGGAAGCCATCAGGGAGGCCATGAACGCTGTTGTGACCCTCGAGCAGTACGTCTCCAATCCGCAGGGAGTCTTCAGTGGAGAAGTCACTGGCTAGCAGAGGCCACGGCAATGTATACAACCGCACACTTAAAGCAAAGTATTGGAAGAGCGACGAAGCGAGGAGCGGATTAACTAAAGCGCGCCGCCTGATCAAAACAGGATAAAACATAAATCCGTAAACGCACGAACCGGTTTACTACATGTAACAACGGTTTGCCTACATCCAGGGCTGTTTTTTTACATCCCAGATCATGTCATTACCATGACCTGAGTGGCTCGACCAAGAAGGGCCCGGTCACTCTTGGACCAGAAGAGGGGTGCATCAGCGCGCGCCTGAGGAAGAGCTACAAGCTGGTCAGAAGGAGGAAGCAAGCCTTCGATAATATGATGGGTTGATGGGCCCACTGGAAGGGGCGCCCCAAGTTCGACGTGGCGATGGACAACCAAAGCGACGCCCTCCGTTACTACGAGCGTTTTGGCAGCGTTGGTTCTGGAAGTTCAATGTGGGGCATTCAGCTGCCATGAGGATCCAGCTTCTCTCGCGGGCACCCCCCGTCTATCCTCGACGACCCCCATGACAAAGGCCCGATTGCATGTCCGACCAGACAGCGGCGGCTCGTCGACGCGCCCGCGGCGCGCGCCAAGGAGACGGCGCGGGGCCCAGCCCTCAGCCACGACGGCGCCGACCTCCAGACCGCGCACCGCGGCGCCGACCTGGCAGACACTGCTTCTATCTGGAGCGAGGAAGGCCTGCATTTGCTGAAGCAGGGGCCTTCGAGCGCGAACAATATCTTCGGCGTTCGCTGTGAAGAAGCACACCGCGCACCAGCTGCCTATAGCACGCGGTGCAACGGTCGTCTGATGCGGGCCCCCGGATGAATCTGCATTAGTGCACTTTCGAGATGCAGGTGGGTCGCAGACGTCGCGCGGGCAATCGCACGCCCCATGTTCACACGCCGCGGTGTCAGGACGAAGGCAGCACTTATGTTACCGAGCTCTGGGCCTGCACCACCACGACGAGGGAGGTCTACGACAAGGCCAAGCAGGAGCAGGCTGTCTTTGGGTGGTATGAGCGTTGGAACCGCACTGCCAGGATGCACCCCGCGGCGCAGGCTATTCATACAGCCTTTCCGAGTGCGCGCGCTTATTCGGACGAGCCGATCGAGCGCTCCGACCTTATGATGGACGAGCGTGGATCTCTCTCCGTTCAGATGGTGCCCTAGAGCGAGATATTGGTTCCTCGATGGACCGCAGCGTTCAGTGAAACACCCCGCTGCCTGGAATGGACTTCGGCATTGCCCCAGCGGCTCCGAGCCGACGAGTTTAATGGCCGAGATGGGGAAAGCTGCGGGCGAGTCAGGATCTGACAACGTGTGGGAAGACCTCTCCTAGGTGCGGTCTCAAGGCATACGTGTTCGCGTGGTTGTATCAGCTGCATGTCACAGATGCTGTGGGACTACTGTCAACGTCTACGGTATCAAAACGACTACGGTTACCAAGGCTACGGCAGCGATGGGAGGATCTTCGTGGATTGTGGGTGGGTCGGCTTTGCGGCTGCAAGAAAGGTAGGAACTGTGGTTGTTATCTGCATTCCAGCCTCGCCTCCTGCGCCTCTGTCTGACCTCCCTTGCGTCGCCGCCACTTGGCTCGCAAGGGCTCATGAGCTACTTGGCGCGCAGGCGACGGGCGCGCCCTGGCGCCCCCGTAGAAGGAAAGAGAACGCGTTCTCTCTCTTAGCACGGATTCCCTATGTGTACTACGTGTCTCTGTGTTCCATACACTACGCCCCGTACATTCATTTCACAGTTTGGTGTGTGCTCCTGTTTTGAATTCTTAATGTGCGATTATGTTGTCTGTTATGGACGCGCGCTGATGGTGCACGAGATCCGTGTATGTGTTTGGTGTCTCGTGCTGGTGGCTGTGATTGACGTATGTGTGCGTGGTGCACGCCATTGGTGTAGTCGGCGGTTCCACTATGTCAATTATGTACGTTGACCTGTACATGGTATGTAATGCATGCTGGTGGTGCATGATGGCGATGCCCGCTCTTGAAATAACACGTGCGCGGCGTACTCGATTGATGTATGCGCATTGGTGAACGATGCTGGTCTATGATGTACTTGCATGCCTGCAATATGTTGGCGATGTCGTAGGGAATATTTTTGATGGCGGTCATTGTTGGTTGTCCATGGCGTGTGTGTGTGTGTGTGTGTGTTTCAATGTGCGGTATTGGGTGTTGGTGCATGGTGTTGTTGTTTGTTGCGCGTATGTGTATATCATTGATGCTTGTGTTTTATATATGTGGACGGCGTGGCGCCGTGTCTTTGTCCTTGAGGTTTGCTATTGTTGTATTGTTATGTCCTTTCATGCTGTCTGCAGGGTTGGCGGGCGGGAAACTCGGGAATCTTGGGAGTCCTGGGTTTTTTTGGCCATCGCGGTATGCAGGGCTGGTACACCTGACTCGTATGGCGCTCTCAAGCCCGTGCCTTTTTTTCAGTGGCTCTGTCTAGTTTTCGACCTCCGTGGCTTCTTCAGAAAAGTTTTTGACTGAAATAGCGAAGGCATGAAGTCCGCAAGTGTACATGTAACACACTATTGGCTGCAATGCAGTTTCATTGGCGAGTAGCTACACATGCTAATGACTATCAGCAATCCCCCTGTACTGTCGTGAGCCCTGGGGCATTGCGACCGCTGTATACAGGGTTGGTGGGCGGGCCGTGTCTGGGAGGGCCTTGTCTTACATCGAAGTTGCCCAACGACCTCTCGGGCGGGAGGGAGAATCAAAAGACATCACACAAAAAGAAAGGAAGAAGAGGGAGGTCTGAATGTCGAAGGACTTGGGAGGGCAGCTCCGCGAGGCCGGTGCATCCTGGTCAGCGGCTATTGCAATGGCGCCGCCGACTGCGAGGACCATGGGTCCTCTTGCGCAGTGGGATGGGGGCCCAGACATCATCGTCAGAAACACCCCAACGCCGACGGGGACAGCGCAAGCACAGGTTTCCAAGACATCAGGGGCGGCCTGATCAACCCCCAGCAGACCGACCCCTTCCGCGACGGCCCCTTTGCCTCGCTCCAAGACGTGGGCAGGCGACCGGAGAGGAGCCTCTCGAGGGCGGGGGATTCGTCACGGCAGGGGCTCGTCACGGAAGCGGTTGGCGGTTGGTTGAGCCGCGCCCGAAAGTTCGGTTGGAGCAGGTGGGGTCGGAGGATCACGCCGTGTCGCCCATGCATCGGCGATGCGGTTCGATGTGGAGCCCGACCTGTTCCACGCCGAACGCGCCGATGCATCGGCGATGTGGCGCGATGTTCCGACCCCATCTACTCGGACCCAGTTTAGGACGCGCGTCCGGCTGACGGGGATCAGCCTATCTGTTTTGGTTGACACGGGTTATGGAGCCACGTGGAGCGGACCCCCATTTTCTTCTCCCTCTGCCTGCCCAGGTTGGGAAGCTACTGAGCAGCAGGCTGGGGTTCTCGACGTACGCCTGCCCGGGCTTGGAAGCTATTGAGCAGCAGGCCGGGGTTCTCGACGTGTTTCTGGCTGACCCGGTCTAGCGCTTCACCGAACGTCATTGTTAGAACCATCCTAACCCCGACCAGGACAGCGTACGTAAGGTGTCGACACGAGGGCGACGCCAGTGCAGGCGTTCAAGATTGAACATTGCCGGTGGCCTGGAAGGAATCGGCCGACATGGAGCGATCTGCACTGTCGGAGAGCCGTGATCGCTCATGGTAGAAAAATCCACGTGGTGTGCGAAACCTACGCAACACAGGTCGTCACGACAAGAATTTGCCGGAACACGGCGTGCCTCCTCAAGGCGGGGATGGGCGCTGCGGGACGCGAACGAGACGGTGCCCTTTCCCTCTTATTCGGCCAGCGGGGCCGAGGTTTCCCCAGTGGGGGTGAGGACAGTTTTTGGACTTCAAGAGTTTCGAAGCCAGCGTGGGCACCAAACAGTGGTTTCTTGAAATCTTTGCAGTGCAGTCTAGGTGGTACAGCCAAACCGCATAGTACGGATGGGCAACCTTCCCAAGGATACCCTTGCATCCTTACCTCCTCGGTCCATCCTTCGACGACAGCGCTGGCCGCGCCCCGCTCGGAAAGCTTCGAAGTGGGCGTCCAAGGCCCTTGCATCCTCATCGCACATCCTTGCTACACTGGCTGACTGCAATTACAGTCGATGTGGTGCAATCTCGATGGTGCAACCCATGGTGTGCAATCTGTGCGGCGCCAGGCCGTGCAGAGCAGCGCGGCACAGGCGGCGGCGACGGACGGCGGCGACGAGCGGCGACGGGCGGCGGCGGACGGGCGACGGCGGGCGGCCACGAGCCGGCCTGGGCGGCACGGGGGCCCTTCTTGCGGCGGCGGCAGACGGCGGCGACGGGCGGGCACGAGCCGGCCAGGGCGGCACAGGGGCCCAGTTACCTGGAGTCGAGCGTGTCCCTCTACAGGAGGAGTGTGCAGGAGCAGTAAGAAAAAGGTAGCCGGGGGACGGCTGTGTTGACTATTTTGTAGCAGTTGGGGATCAGTTTGGTGGTATTTTTGATTTTGCCGCCGAGAATCCCCCTGCAGGGGGACGGGCCCGACCTGACAGTGACCTCAGAGACGAAGCAAGGACCCTTAGGTGCAAGCATCGCTTGGGGAGCATAGGCGCCCAGTGGCTCGGAGGAGGGGGAGGGAGGTTCAAGGATCGAGGTCAGGGGATCCTCCTCCTCCTCCTCCTCCTCCTCCTCCTCCTCCTCCTCCTCCTCCTCCCTCGGGCTTGGGAGTGTTCTCGGCGCCCGCGATGGGCCTGTGGGGGCGTCCTCTCCGCCACAGCGGAATCCACGTCGAAATGCTGGTCTCAAGCAGTGGCGAAGCGTCCTGGCTCGCCTACAGGCCCACCGAAGAACGTTCTAGGAACCATTTGTGGCTTGCACGAAATGTTTTTAGAACATCTCTGGCTGGGGCTGTCTTGTTTAACATAACGGGTTTATGCTATAAGAACATTGTTTTTGTCCTAAGAAGATTTCTGGGTTCTAAGAACATGTTGTGGTAGGCCTATAGGAATGCCGGGACGGTCGGTCCCTGCTCATAGGTCGGAGCCCACCCCCGGATTTTCCCCCAAGCAGTGCTTGCACTCAGGGTTTCTTGATTGTTTTCTAGGATTTGGGCCTGCGCGTCGGTCTGGCGGCCATGAGGTCGACGTCGCCGCCCCGTCTCCGCCCCGTCACCGCCCGTCGTCTGGGCCTGCGCTTCAGTCTGGTGGCTATGTGGTCGCCGTCGCCGCCCCGTTGCCGCCCCGTCGCCGCCTCGTCACAGCACGTCTTCTTGCGCGTCGGGTCTGCCGCCTTGTGGTTGCCATCGCCATCCCGTCGCCGCCGCCCCCGTATGCGCCACACTGCACAACCTCCCCGTTGCAATCGAAGATTTGTATTCCAGTCGACTGCAATCGATTGGAAAGGCCTGTTCGCGGCCCCGTTCCCGCCCGTCGCCGCCTCCCCCCCCCGTTCCGTTGCAATCGCACTGCAACGCGCTGCATTGCAATCGCATTGATTCGCAAGGTTTCGCATCGGTATCGCGTTGATTTGCATTGCTTTACGTTGCAATCGCATTGGAATCGCCCTGCTTCAATCTAAGTTGATTTGCATTGCAGTACATTGCATTGCATTGGTTCACATTGATTTGTATTGTTTTGCGCCACATAGATTACACCACCTGGATTGCACCGCCTGGATTGCACCACATGAATTGCGCCATCTAGATTGCACCGAATATTTTACAAGAAACTACTGTTTGGAATCCACGCTGGCTAGCGTTGATGAGGGAAGCCAAGGTTTCCAGCCTTCGAATGGAAAAAAACACTGACACAATGAATCGTCGATCCCCCAGAAAATATGAGAAAACATGGGAAGTGAGGGGGGAAGACAAAGACCCAGAAAATATAGGAAAGCATTGGGAATCCTGTTCTTCGTGTCTGTTTGTTTGTGTGTCCCCGGCCCCCTCCAGAATCGGCCGCGCGCAGAGGGGGGGCAGGGGTGACGGGGGAAGCCTGCGCAGAAGCGCCCCTGCTCCTCCGAAGCGGCGGGCCTCGTCCGCAGATGCGAGGCCCGCGCCTTCTGAGAGGCGGCCCCCTTCCTGAGAGGCCCTCCCCCCCTCCCCCCCCCTTGCGCGCGCCGCCAGTAGTCTGCAGATGCGAGGCCCCCCCCTTCGGATAAGCAGCCCCCTTCTACGTGGCCTTCCCCCCCCCCCCCCCCTCCGCGCGCCCTGACGCAGGCGCGCCCTGATGCAGGCCAGGGCCCATCCGCGAGGGGCGCAGAGATCTGGGCTCTCCTCCTCCGGGGGGGTGGCGCGAGGCCGCGAAGGCGCGAAGAGGACCGCGCCTCGCGGGGCAAGGCTCCTCCTCCTCCTCCTCCCTCCTCCTCCCTCCTCCTCCTCCTCCTCCCTCCTCCTCCTCCTCCTCCTCCTCCTCCTCCTCCTCCGCGGAGGCGCGAAGAGAACTGCGCCTCGCGGGGCCAGATCTAAGTCGGGCGTGCCCCTCTACGGGAGGAAAAACCACCCGGACCGGACAATTGGCGTTTACTAAACGGCCCTGGGCGTTTATTAAACGGCCCTGCCCTGTTCAATTCCTTCCTTGGGCGCGTTGACTGAAGGCCTCGCGTGTCGGGGTGGTTACTATCGGGGTGGATTTTCTGCCCTGTAGCGAAGGCGCGAAGAGGACCGCGCCTCGCGGGGCAAGATTCAAGTCGGGCGTGTCCCTCTACACGAGGAGTATTCAGCAGTAGTCAAAAAATAGTCGGGGGACGATCTTGTTCACTATTCTTGAGCACTTTTTGTTGACTATCTTTGATGTTTCGTCCAAGATCCGCCTGCAGGAGGACATGCCCGACCTAAGGCGAGATGCGCGAGGTGGGGGTAGGGGGGGAAAGCCCCGGCGTTCTATAGGGTCGGAGTAGACGGGGTCGGAGGGTCGCGCCGTATCGCCGATGCATCGGCGATGCACCGGCGATGCATCGCGGACGTCGGCGGTGCATCGGCAACGTCGGCGTGAAACAAATCGGGCAGTACATCGAGCCGCATTGGCGACGCGTCGACTCTATCTAGGGACCTGGATCGGGCCGAACGAAAGAGGGGGATAGGGAAAGGGGGGGGGGGGTACGAAATCTGCTGCGTGCAGCTGGGAAAATCAGCTGCGTGAGCTGATTCTCTACCCTACCCTTTGCTGCCCCCCCCTTTTTCGCTTCCCCCGGCTGGACCCGCTTCCCTCGGGACCCGTTTTTGCCATGCCCATCCCGGGGGGGGGGCTCTCCGACCGCAGCAGGACGGCTCGGACGAGGACTACTGCCCACCGGAGCGTGCGGGAGGCGGCAGAGGCGCCGTCGGGGGCCGCTGCCGCCCCTGCGCTGCCCTCCCCTGCACGAGCCTAGACTATCAGATCCGTGCGGGTCTTGGGTTATGGTGTTCCAACCCACTTTAGCTTTGATCACCAGCAAGGATCTCGAGCGGTCAAAAAAAGTACCGAAACTCAAGGGTTTTCACGTGTCGGGCCCCGGGAGACTCGCCCGACACTGTTTCGACACTGTTTCGACACGTTTCTGGGTGCTCGAAATTATTTCTGTGATGTGGTCCTCAAGTACCATTAGAACAACATGAGTCCTGGGTCGGCATTGGGCCCCCCATGGCGGCGCCTCCAGCGCCGCCACTGGCGCGCTCCGCGTGCAGAGCAGGGACCCAGCGCCGGTGCAAGAAGGCGTCGCGGACCTCCGAGAGGTTGTGGCGTGTGTGGAGTTGTCTCATGCTGCTCTCTGCCGACGGAGTGCTCTCTTGCCGTGTGCTGTTGTTGCGGCGTTCGTGACCGTTGTTGTTCTTCCTCCCGACGACCCACGGAACGCAAGATGGCCCAGTTCAGGCGGTCGTTTGCTCATTTCTGCTGCGCAGCGCTGTCTCACGTGCCGAAGGGCTTCTGTGGACAACACTCAAACCAACCTTAGCAATACGTTTTCTGAACCTGGGCCCTCGTTTCGAGGGTGGCCTGACCAACCCCAGGCAAACCGACCCCTTCCGTGGCGACCCCGTCGCCTCGCTCCATAACGTGGACAGGCGGCATCGGGGGAGTCTTTCGAGCGTTTCCGGGCCCCAGAGCGGGCAGGAAGTGCATGGGACGAGCATCTGCTGGCCAGGTCCGGGAAGCACAGAAGACCCGCTCCAGGGCGTCCTGGAGCGTTCTCAGATCAGAGCGTGCTGGAAGACGCTCTGCGGCGGCGCCGGCGCATCGGCCCGCCAGATCTCGGAGATCCCCGAATTGTCTCGCCCAGATGGTGTCTGCTCCTTCTCGCCGTATTGAGATGGCCCTGGGGAGCAGGTCGAGAGGCTCACCGCGAGGACATATGGCCGTTGGGTGTCGAGCAACGCCGCTGGCAGAGTTCATCGACCCACTGTGCCCGAGCTCTTTCGGAACCTCGTCCCGCCACGAGCGGTGTGCGTTCCAGAAGGGGGAGGGGAAGAGGGCGAGAGGGAGAGGGAGGAACGGGGGCTTGCGACTTTCGCACGCATGCGTATTGTACTAAGTAGAGGGGCTGTGGGAAGATTACATGCAGAGTAGAGCAAGCGTCTGCCCGTACCGCATTGCGCACTTGCAGAAGAAGAAGGACGGCAGAAAGGAGAAGGAGGAGAGGAGAAGGAAGAGGTGAGGTGGTGGTAGAGGAAAAGAAAAGAAAGGGATGGAGGCGTGGTGGAGGCGAGGACGAGGGAGGAGACAGAGGATGAGAAGCGGAGGAGGAGGGGTATGTGGAGGAGGAGGGAGGAGGAGGAAAAATATATTCATAGCACAGACAAGCGGGCAGTCCACTGTTCAAGCTTAGGCCTTCGGCCCATCCCGCCACCGTGCCTGGGTTCTGGGTCAGAGTTCTCGTGGATGCTTCTTGGGGTCTCTTCGGAGCGCTCTCGGGGGCCTCTTGGGAGGGGCCTCCGGCGAGCCTCTCGGGGGCCTCTTTGGGCCTCTCGGGAGGCACTTGGGGCCTTCTGGGGCCTCTCGGGTCCCCCATCTGGGCCCCCCCTTGGAGCTGTATGTGGGGCCTCTTGGAAGCCTCTTGGAGCCCCTTTGGGCTATTTTGGGGCCCTCTTGGAAGCTTCTTGGGGCAATTTTGGGCGCCTCTAAGGCCGTCTCGGAGCGGCGGGAAGCCGAAAGGCGAGAACGCCAAAAACATGCAACAATCGAAGAAACATCAATGATTGTTGCCTCTTCGGGCGAGCGATCATTGGGCGTCTCGGGGCCCTCTGGGACCGTCTTGTTGGCCTCGTGGGGCCCTCTTGGTCCGTTCTGGTGCCCTCTTGAGCCCCAACAAGTCATGCGAGAAGACGCCGCGGAGCCCTGGGGAACCGCGCCAAGCCCAAGAAGATTTGAGAATTTGGGGTCCTGGCCCTTGAAATATTCCCCAGGACTGAGGACTGAGGCTCAGCAGATGAGGCAAAGAACCTGAGGACACTCCCACTCCGTGCCCAGCGGCACGGTGGCGAATGTCAGGACCAGGTTTCCATCGGCGCACCGCTGTCCTTCAACGAGGGCGGGTCAGGCAGAGAATCGGCATGACCCATGGGCCGCTACTTCTGTTGCCAGGGCAGTCGATCGATTGGTGTTGAGTAGCGATCCTCTTTGCGTATCTTGCCACACTCCGTGTTCTCCGCAACCTTCAACATCATGATGACATGTTGTATCGGTGCCTCGTCTTTCTGCTGCTTCCGCTAGAGCCGTGTCGCCCGCGTAGAGGTCCTGCTCATCATGAGCATGTTGCCGAGCTGCCTTACGACTGCTACGCGGGGCTCCGACGCAGCCCACCGCACGCGCATGAGTAAGAAATTCTTGACACCCATCGCATCTCCACCAGCCGTCCAGCAAAGATGCCAAGGTGAGTTGCACCGATCAGGGAAGTACGAACGCCCGCAGTGGCACATTGAGGGGGGGCAGCCATCAAGCAGAAGGGGACCGAGTCGTGGCCGAGGCGTGGCCAGCGGAGCCCCTTTTCGTTCTTGAGTCAGCGCTCCTTATGGTATCACGGTGATAGCATGTCGTTACCCATCGGTCGTTGAAAGTAGGTATTTTGGGAGTTTCAGATTCCGATCTGATGTAAGAGCATTCCTACTTCGATGCTCGAGTGGCTTCACCGCTTCCGTCCGCCCAACGGGGCGGACGGAACCCAATATATTTTCAACGCCAGATTCCAATATACTTTAAGCGCCTACCTACTGCAATGCTCGAGTGGCTTCACCTTTCCCGTTCGCCCAAGGGGGCGGACGGATCCCAATCTTTTTTCAACGCCTTCCTATTTCATGTTTCTGCGTACTTCTCCCGACCGATTGGTACAGAGTTCTCAAAGAGAGTTCGGGAGCGCTCTGGAGCCCGCCGCGGCGCTCGATACGTCCTGGAGACTTGGCCGGTCGCAGAGAGTCTCCCGACTTCTCTCCAGCCGACAGTACCCTCCTGTCGCCGTCGTCTCACATTCATGCCAAGTGTCACTGGGCCGCCTGCTAGGTCAGGCCATCTGATGCCACAGGGTAACGTGCAGGTCGGCTTCTCCAACCATCCCCCCGTTCAGTCCCCCCCCAGGCGACAATGGCTCGGCGACAAAAGCGGTCGTCGCCATGAAGGGAAGCGGTCCCGAGGGGAACGGTGGCTGAGATCCGTTGCCGCGCTCGGTCTCTGGAGTGGCGTCCGACAGCGACTCGGGATGCACAGAACTGTCCCGGGGGGGAACACCGAGGCTAGGACTCGTCTCCCTCGGGGCCCGCTGCTTTCATGCCAAGACTGAAGTTCAGAAAACGAAGATGGAAATTGTTGGACGTTGTCTTCGGTCCTTTTTGGGTTGCCGTTGGTTTCTAGAGGCTAGAGGCCTTTAGGCAGCGACTTCAGGGAGCTCTGGAGAGCTCCAGGATCCCCTGGGGACCGACCTCCCTTCGTTCCCCGTTCTTTTTGCCGTCCTTCCTCCTCCTCTCGCTCCCCCTTTCTTCAATTTCAACCCCTTACGTGTTCTTGCACGCCTAAACGCACACGCAACATGGCCATCATGCACAAAGGCAACACCTACAATGATAATGGTTCGGGGGAAGTGATCCAATGAAGTCGCTGACAATTTGGGGCAGAGATGGAGGTAAATACAAGGATCCAGTCGAGCACTGCTGCTCGAGGGCGTCGTGCGGGAAAGATGGGGAGCATTCCCCCCGGCAGCCTCTGTCGCCCCGGCCCCTTCGCCCAAGCCCGCTTCGTAGGGGTACTCTTCGGGTGCTCCCTGCGAGGCTGTCCCCCGCGCCTCCCCAGCCAGAACGCGGGCAGGGGAGATTGGAGGGCCATTGGCACGGGGGGATAGGATTAAGTCGGGCGTGTCCCTCTACAGGAGGAATATTCAAGAATAGTAAAAAATACTCTCGGGACGATTTCATTGTTTTATTGAGATTATGTTTGAGCATGTTTGACAATTTTCTTGCTCGTCCAAAAAACCCGCCTGCAGGAGAAAATGCCCGACCTAAGGATAGGACGAGGAGGAGGAGGAGGAGGATGGAGGACCAGCGTAAACCCAAGATCCCTCAACGATGTTGGAATACACCCTCCAAGCTCCCTCTTCACTGGCCCCATACAAGCGTCCATTTCCACTGAGGGAGGTACCCCGTTGGGGGACTGCCGTGCGAAGATCCTGAAGCGTGCCAAAACACCATTCTCAGGATTTCAACGCCACGAGTCAACCTGACTGTTGCGCCTTGACGATCGTAAATCGTGCCAGAAAACAATTGAATTCTTGCTACGGTTCAAAAAGAATGTGCGCGGCGCTAGGGCAAGAGCCACATTTCTGAAACCACCCGCCCTCAACCCGCTAAATTATTGCAATTGTTTGAAATGAGTGCGCGCAGCGCTAAGGCGAGAGCCACATTTTGAAAACAGCCAACCCTCAATCGGTGAAACTCTTGCAATTGTTTGGAACGAATGTGCGCGGCGCTAAGGCGAGAGCCACACGTTGAAAAACACCCGCCCTCAATCCGCTAAATTCTTGCAATTGTTTGAAACGACTGCACGCGGCGCTGATGCGAGAGCCACGTGTTGAAAACCACCCGCCCTCCATCTGTGAAATTGCTGTCATTTTTGAAGCGTCAGGTTCATGAATGGTAAGGACTTCTCAGGCGAAACATCCAACCCACCCTTCCGACTGGCCTCGAGGTGCGACAGAGACGAGTTATTCATAAGGAAAAGGAATGGATGGAGCAGAGAGGGAGGAGGAGGACGGAGGAAAAGGCGGCGGAGGAGGGAGCAGCAGGAGTGAGGAGCCCGAGGGAGGGAGGGAGGTAGGGAGCAGGAGGAGGAGGAGGAGGAGGGGGAGGAGATGGAGCAGGAGGAGTGGGGCCTCATCCGGTTCCACTGCTGGTTCGCTCCCAAGGCTCCTGCAGGAGTGGTCGCCTGGAAAGAGCGCGTGGTGCTGCTTGAACACAGGACGCCCCCCCCCCACCTCCCATTTCGATCCGAGACGATTCCGAAAAATTTCCGACGATCCTATGTTGCCCAATGTTAGCATTGCTTGGTTGTCTTTTTCGGCACGAGGCCGATCCGAGTAGGTTTCGATTCCGTGCCGATGCAGCTCGATCCGTTCAGATTTCCCGATTCGGTGTTGATTGATCTTCCCGCAGAGCCGAGGAGTTTCTCCCAAGAAGACAATCGGGAGTTCCGCGCAACTCCAGCGCTGGTCAAAGAAATCAGTGCGGACATCCGAATGATTATGTTCATGTAGTGCTCGTGTCAGTGGCGAGAGGGGATCGAAGCGAAAAGATGTTGCTGTGCTCAATTCCCTGCCACGGTTGCGAATGACAGCAAGCATTAGGGTTTGTTCAGCCTTAAGGTTGATATATTTCTCTATTGAGGCAGCAGTTGCGAAGATTAGCAGCACCAGCCTCCCACTGCCTACCCCAACCACTACTCTACTAAAAGCCTCGGTATGCCTTGGCTTGCAAACGTGTGAAAAGCGAAGGTGCGGCACTGCACCAGATTATTATATTCGTTGCACGTGGTCGCTTTCGCGCGTGGGGGGCCGCTCGAACTTCGAGAGGAGGTTAACCAATTCGGGGCACGGGCACCGCTTACCCTCGAGCAGACCAGACCTTCGTGAAGCGGACCTCCTTGCCGCTCCCGATCGGAATGGGCCCAAGGGCCAGGCATCGGCCGTGGCTGCAGCGCGGCAGCGCCGTGAGTCCGTGTGAGCGAGGGAGTGTTGGATTGCACGCGCTCGGCTCGAAGGCAGAATCGCTGGCCCACGCCATGGTCTCAGAGTCTCAGAGGTGCCCTCGCCCATATGCCCAGAAGAGAGGCGGCTCGATCGACTTTCAGAGCCGCGCGCGAAAACACATCGTCGGATGTCTGGGAACGGGGACGGAGGTCAACAGCAGGCTCTGCCCATCTGGAACGGGGGTCGCTGTCGGTGTCGCCGTGGACGCTGTCCACTGGAGACAACCAGTCGCCTTCCAACAGTGGCCGATGTCGGTTTCGGACAGCATATGTCGTTGGGCATCGCGCCCATGCTTTCCGTACGGTCTGGAGTTTGGGCTCGGCGTGCCGTTCCGCTGGTTCTGCCCCACCACGCTTCGGCGCGGCACGCAAGGCTGTCCACGGCCCAGCTCCCGGGCGTCAGCGTCCCGAGCCTTGCCCGTCCCTCCGCCCCCCAGAGCGGAGCGACATGCCGGCTCGCGTGGCACAGCGTGTCGCCGGGGCCGCCGCCGCCGCGACAACGCTGAGCAAAAGTTCCAGGCCGTATCCATTTCGGTCGTAGCAGCGGGGGGGGCGGGGGGGTAGGCTCGCGCCGCGTCGGGTCGGCGGTGGTGCCGGCGCGGGTATTCGAGGCTGAAGGCCATTGGCGGCCCGGCCTCAGGCCAACTTCGGATGGGCTCCTCTGTCGCACGGCGGAGGTGGGTCAAGATCGAACGATCTACGCGGTGTTGCAAGCCAACGTTCACTTCATTCGTCATTGCAGGAGCCAGCGGTATACGAGGAGGTCACGGCCCAGGCATCCGGCGGTTCCCTTTTTCCAGGCACATCATGGCCCCCTGCAGACCTCTCGATCGACCCGAGTCGTCTCTTGAGGAGCTTGGGACCCGAGACTGGCCTCCAGAAGCCCAAGCTACGAGCAAGTATGGCGTCTCGATGTTTCCAAGCCGCCAGGTGTCCTCGGAGGCTGGTTGGCCCCGTGCCCGCAGGCCCCCAGAGGTCTCCAAGCTCTCCCGGCGGCTCAAAAGTGGGATCTTCGAATTCCGAGGATCGAGGTGGAGAGGAGGAGATTTCGGGGGTGGACAGAACCCCCAACAGTGACACGTCGATTAGTGAATTGTCCGTTTTCGGTTCTCGAGAGGGCGCCGTGGCCGTTATTTTCCAGGCTTGCGCCCGCCAGGTTTGGGCCTCAGGTCGTTTTCACTAAACCACGTTTTACTAAAGGGGGGTCTGTCCATCCCCGAAGATTGGCAGGCGAACAGGGACATGAACTGGGACATCCGACGTCCTGATTTTTTCAAGGCGGGATCCCCAGGAGTCCCGACCCTGTCCTCAGGGCCCACTTTTCGCAGCGCCCAGGGCCCAGAAGTCAGCGTCTTGCCGACGAAACCGGGGGCTTGGCGGGGGCTCCCAGGGGCCCAGAAGAGGCGAAGAATCTGCGCACATTGACCTGATGTGTTCCGTGCTGCAGAGGCCTTGGAGCTCCAGGGCCCCATCGAGCAAAAAGAACTCCACGCGAGAGGCGGCAGGAGCCGGAAGGCCGCGGAAGCTTGAGAGTCAAGCAGTGGCGAAGCGTCTTGGCGTGCCCAGAGTCCTACCAAACAATGTTCTAAGAACCTGTTGTGGTTCCCATGCAATGTTCTTAGAACATTACTGGCTAGGACTGTCTTGTTTTATCACATCGGGTGTATGTCCTAAGCACATTGTTCTGTTATTAGAACATGTATGGGTTCTAAGAACATCTCGTGGTACCGGCGTTGTTCATAATAGCGAGCATCGACATAATTCATGTCATGGCCGATTGTGTTGTCTCTAAGATGTTTTGCGACAGCGGGCCGCTGGAGTCCTTCTGCGGCCGGTCAACGCATGCATCCTCCGATGCACGACGCACGAAGCGTTTTGCACACAGGTTTTCGCATCACACATTACATCACGCCTGGCCGTGCCCTGGTTGCCAATCTCGCCAGGTGCAGCGCGAGAGACCCCTCACAATCGTCACGATTGCCCTGCCTGTTATGCGAACGGCGAGCACTGGATGTGAGAGGAAACAATCATCCCATGCGTGACCCATGTATTCTCACATCTGCTCTGGGGGCGTACCGGCGAGTACCAGAAGCATGCCGCAAGATGCGTTCCGAAACTGAACAGTGACAGACGGGTGGCGACGATGGCAAGGACAGGGATGATTATCGACGCTCCTGGGAGAAGACGTGCCAAATGTGGTTCGTACGCACCCCTCAAGTAAAATGCAGATTCGCTGCGCGGCCCCATGACAGTCGGGCCGATGAAATAAGGAACGCTACGCAAGGAACGCAGCCCCCTCTGCGGCTTCAAAAAGTTTGGGCGCACGAGAAGGGTTAGAGGAACAACCGCGGAAGGACGCAGGAACATCGAGCCCCTTCCGAATCCAGACCGTTCCTTATATCAGCGTCTTGGCTCTACGCACCCTTCACGTAAAAATGCAGATTCACTGCGCGGCCCCGCCGACGCACGGCCCATCACTTCCTAGAAAGGGATGGCAGCGTGTGAAAATTGAGCTTTCCTTCGCGCCCCTGTCTCCGCTCCCCTCTCCCGCCTCCCCTTTTCTTGCCTCCCTCGTCCGTCTTCCATCCTTCTCTCGTTCGTGCCCCTGGTACCCCCCCCATCCTCATCTTGACACGCATCTTCTTCGTCGCCTTCCGCGCGCGTCATCATCACCATCATCATCATCATCATCATCATCACCACCGCCACCATCATCATTATCATAATCAGCGTCGCCATCGTCATCGGGATGCCCCTCAATGGATATCATCCTCATCATGATGATCACCAGAACCATCATCATCGTCGTCATCGTCGTCGTCATCATCCGCATCACCCACCTCCTCTTGCTTACCACCCGCACCCTGATCAGCATCCCCCTCCTCACACCCTCATCCGTACAGGGGTGGATTGCGGGGCATCCAAAAATGGATGCCCCTCAATCGTCCTCATATTGCTCTTTTTCGTCACCTTCCGCACCCTCACGAACATCTCCCTCCTCATCCCCTCATCCGCGCAGAAGGGATTGTAGGGGCATCCCAAAAGTGGATGCCTTTCAATCATCCGCACCATCATCACCAGAACCATCATCAGCATCATCGTCGTCATCATATCATCCTCCACCTCTTCGTCACCACCCGCACCCTCGCCAACATCCCCCGGTTCATCCACGTTTTCGTTGTCCACATTAATCGCCTCCTCCGCCTCCCCCCCTTCCTTGTGATCCTCATCCCCTTGATCCTCATCTTCCTGGTCGCCATCGTCGTCGCCATCGCCATCGCCATCGTCAGCGCCGCCATTGTCGTCAGATCCCCCCCCCGTCTCCATCTCCTCCCCCCCTCCCCCCCGTTTTTCCCCCGCCCCCCCCCTCCCCCCCTTTCCCTGCCCCCCCCCCGTTCCCCCCAAGGCTGCACAGCTGACCGCGCGCAGCGGCGACGAGGGGCCTCGATTCAGCTCTGCAGCGCAGGGGAAGGGGGAGGGGAGGGGGAGGGTGGAGGACGATGCTGACGATGGTGGCTGACGACGATACTCCCGACGGCCAGCGTTTCAAGCGTGTTCGGCCAAACGCAAAGCGAGGAGAGGGACACACATCCGTGGATGCACGTAATCACAAGATGGTCGTTATTTTCAACAACAACACCGGCAGGATTAGGAATGACGTGACGGTCGGTCCCTGCTCAAGAGAGGAGGCCCCCGCCGCGCCGCCGCGTCGTTACCGCGTCGCCGCCCCCCCCCCCCCCTGCAGTCAGCAAGCGCGGGTGCCCCGATTTCGCCGCCGGGTGGCCAGAGGACGGCTGCGAGGACCGCCAGCGGGCGGGGAGGGGCCTTCGACCTCCGCTTTATGATGTTCCAACCTATTTTAGCTTGTGGAATTCGATCAATGGAGAGAAAGCATGCTGCCAAATAGTTTCCAGATGTCCTAGAAATGCCCACCTGTTTAAAACTTGTGTTCATAACAGAAAAATATGTTCAACATATTTTGGACACGTTTTACACATTTTAAACACAATTTTAATTCAATGGTACAGGGCCGGCGGGACTCTGACCTGGACGCACCCCCAGGAGAGGTCCGGGGGGCGATTTCCATGAGTCGCCAGGGGAGAAGATGGATGTTGCTGGCTTTTCTGTGACGTTTTCGGCGGCCTTGCGGGGCCTTTGGGGGGCTGGCCCCTTCTCCCTCGTGTCAGGCTCCTGGCCTCGCTCGGACGTGTGCAGTTTTTCCTCGGCGAGGCCCCTCGAACAGCATCTTGGCCCCTCTTCGAGACAACCCTGGCTCAGCTTCGAGGCCCGAAAACAAATAAGAGGGGCACGAGGGGTGAACGCCCGAGCGACGGCAAGAGCTTGGGGGGGTCATCCGGCGGCTCGCGACAGGAGAGGCGGCGCGGGAGGGCAGCGGGGCGCGTGGGCACAAGTTCGCCCTCCGAGGAGGCCCTCCCGGGAGCCGCCGATCCCCTCGGGGGGGCCCCCTGCAGCGGAGGGAGGCGGAGGAGGGAGTGGAGTGGAGGGAGCGGAGGGGGGGAGCGGAGGAGGGAGTGGAGTGGAGGGAGCGGAGGAGGGGAGCGGAGGAGGGAGGAAGGGGAGCGGAGGAAGGAGTGGAGTGGGGGGGAGGGGACCCCGTTGCGGATGCAAGTGCGTTCCACCTTGAGTCGGCCCTTGGCCAGGAGCGTTCGAACGTCGAGACGGTTGCTCGGTTCGGCTCAGGACTTCGGTCTGTAGACCCCGTGCAGTCTTGTCAAGACATGTTATCACGTGCTTGGACAATTTCCCACTGATCAAGTGGGCTCTTGAGGGATCGCAGCGCCTTATCGGCGACCTCCCCGCACACACTACAACACCAAGCCTGAAGGGGCGGGTGAACATTCAGGGTGTGCGCAGTATGTGCCCAGCCCCCCGCAATGTGAATGTCAACCCTCTCGGTGGGCTAGAAATTCACTCCAGTAACATGATATAACTGATGGTATTCAAATGCCCAGAACTCTTTCGCAGTGGCTTGGGTTGCGGACCCAAAACAAAACAGGCACCGCCTCTTGCATTCGGCAAGGCGCTGGGAAAGGAAAGCAGAGGCAGCAGCAGGAGCAGGAGGAGGAGGCGGAGGAGGGGGAGGCGGGACCTCACGGGCGCGTTTCTTTTCCTCAAGCTCGACACTATGGGCGGCTGTGCTACTGTCAAGGGTCGCTGTGAGCAACCGCATACGGACGATGTGATCTCTCCTTTCGTGAACCAGAAGTTTGGATCTCTCGGCGACGGGGAGACAGGCTTCTGCAGCGGCGAAGCCTGCAAACTCCTCGACCGGCAAGCTACCGATGACCCTCGTGCGAGCTGCTCTCCCCTCGTGGATGTCTCGCCCAGTCTGATGGGAATGGGTCCATACTACAGACATAGGTCAGACGCTTCGATGGGACATCAGATGTTTGATGTTGTTCCAGTTGTCTGCATCCTCCTTCGAGGGCTCGAGATATACGTTATCGTGCCAACCTTTGGCGACATGTTCCCAACCTGTAGTGCAGCTGAGATACTGGTCCGTCATCCAGACGGCAATGTACAAGGGCAGCAGTTCGCTTCTGGCAACCACCTGCTCGAGGCCTGTGAGTGGGCCGAACACCGTGCAAGTGACGACGATCGATGGTACAACTGGAGCTACGCATGCGATGGCAATTACTATCCCTCGAAAGTTAGAAATACCTGAGTCCTGTTCTCCACCGGCGTCTCTAGGTATCTCGATAGGAGTTGCCTCACTACTTGGAGGAAATATTCCTGCAGCCAACTCGTTGATGCCCGTCGTCTCCCACATCCTCGGTCACGGGGTCCGTCACCTCAATCCAGCTCTTCGGGATCAAGCCCCTGAGCCAGCACTTCGCCGTGTTGGCTTGTGTCACCGCATCCTGACTACTGGCCGGAAGCCTCGTACGGAACGGCATCGGTGTTAACCCCACATTCCCACATCCGATGCAGTCTGAGCCTTTCCTTTGCATCGATCGCTTGCAACAATAACACCAGCATAACAGTTCATCACATATTCCTCTAATTTGGCCAGTAGCCTCCACAAGCAATGCTTACCAGTAAATCTGAGACGTGTGTCGTGTTCCAACTGGCCGACTTGTTTCGACAACAACCTGAATGATTCATTGTCAAATCCGGGCTCAGCACCGTCTCCACAGTAGTGAGCATTGGCTTGATTCCAAAAAGTCAGCTCTGCCGATCTCCGAACATTCTTCAAACCCGCCTTGTGTGATTACAAAACCTTATTACCAGCATAAATTATATCTGGAAGTTGCCACCCCTCCGCCGTACCCTTCAAGGACGCGTAGGACCACACTGCGGTTTCACTCGGGCCTCAGTCTAGCCTCGGATGGTTCAAGATGGTCGCCGAGATGGGCTTGTTGACATCACGCACTTGATCTCGAGCGTCGTGTTGCCAAAGGTCCTGCAAGATACGACGCAAAGCGTGTCGAACACCCTTCCTCGGCTCTGAGTGGGATTGCCACGTGCTCAGCCACATGTCGATACACCGAACAGGATACGCCACCGATGGGTCTCCCGCGGCTGCCCTGAGATCGAGGAGGGTGGTGGGGCATCGGTCTTTGGTGCTGGCAGCACACGTTTGGCCGAGCCTTCTCTTGCAGTCCTTCAGCTCCTGGCCGAAGATGCCGTGCACCTAGAAGCCGCATGTTTTTGCAGTTTAGGTCGCCCACCACATTTCTCGAGCTTCGTCGTGAGGCCATATCTCTTGGATGCTCGACTGAATCTCTTGACATCTTCGTTCATTGCCGTGTGCTTCGACCGTCTCTGTGTTTGTGTCGCCCTGTCATTTCTGCCGCAGCTGAAGCCTACCCCCGTGAGCTTGACAGCGCGGGTTATATCGTGCACATCCCTGGTGGTCGTGCGCATGATAGCCGAGTGCCTAGCAAGTTGCACGCCATAGTTGCTCAATTCCGCGCCCGTCCTGACAACGCGTTTGATCATGCTGTTTCTTATGGCAACCTTGGGCCCCGCCATCTTAAGTGAAATGTCATTGATCCAAACTCGCAGTGACATGTGGCGTTGCCGTTGGGACAGCCTTCATACCTTCATGTGGAAGTACGTTCACAAACCTGGTTCCAGGCCTGAGCCCCCCGGATACAATTGTGGCATCGTTCGAACAGTCCAGCCCCTTCCTGTGCCAGAGTCTTCACCGCCACGCACTGCAGGAGTTCGAGGCACAGGCTGACTGGAGGGAAGTTGCAGTTCAGCTCGAGCGCCGTCGTGGCCTGCGGCATTCACGGGATAGCGACGTCGAGGAGTCCATGTCAATGATGCATCTTCATGGTCGGCCATCGCCTCGTCTGTGGCCTCGAGGTACGCCCCTTGCAAGCACGAGTTGCCTGCCACCGCCGCATCCCAGGCCTGGGCCGCCCGCGCCGACCACTGGCGCACCAGCGGCTCTCGCGCCAGAGGCCACAGTCGGCCCAGCACGGGCGCGAGGCCGTTGGCCCTGTCCCCCTTGGAACTTCTCGGGGGCGAGATGGCCCGCGACAAAGGCCTCGCATTGGCCGCGCCAAAAGCAGCCCCAGACGGGTCACGTTCAGAACGAGGTCAGCTATGGCCGAGGGGGGTGGTCTTTGGCAGCCGACAGGCGTCATCACGTCTACCCACAAGCCGGTCCTAGCCTTCATGGTTTCAGCACGACTGTAAATTTGTTCCACCCGGATTTTTGGGGAGCAATCCCATGTAGTTCCAGCACGAGTGATTCTGAGATGTTCACGCACTTCGCCAATTTCTGGCGGTTGCGGGGCCCGCAGCTCATTGAATGCAACAGCCTGATTGTCCATGATCTCCGCTGAGTGCACAGAAACTGTTCCATCGGTCCCTACCTCCAGCGGAGGTAGTTGTTTGATGTTCAACGATTTGTGCAAAATGTTTGCTGCTTCCAATAATGCCATCCAAAAGTCGAGCTCCGCCATCGACTCTCGGATAGCAGTCCTCTGAGCCCGGCCCATGATACGCCGAGCTCCGACAACTACAGACTCGAGCACTGGCGTGCACGCGTTTTTGGGGGCTCGAAGAACCCCCGCCCACTGATCCCAAGGAGCGTGGATGGTGTGGGCGATGGCGGGTTGGGTCGTAGCGAGTTGTTGCCAGACTTCGGCATGCGCGTCGAGTTGCTTCCCACCGTTCCCGCCGAGCACGTTCCCGTCGATCACGTTGCGGGCGCGCGTCCACCGCTGGCCACGCTGGCCCCTGAGGGCCAGCTCCAGAGGCTCGCTGAGAGATCTGGAGCCCACGTCGCGCGAGACTCCAGGAAGGGCCTGAAGGTCATCATAGAGTTATGATGTTCCAGCCTACTTTAGCCTTGATCACCAGAAAGAATTTCGAGCGCACCCCAAAACTCGAGGGTTTTCACGTGTCGGTCCCTGGGAGGCACTCGTTCGACACTGTTTCGACACTCTTTCGACATTTTTCTGGCTGCTCGAAATTATTTCTGGGATGTGGTCCTTAAGTAGGATGGGAGCAACATAATGATAGAGGAGTGCCGCGCTTCTCAACAGCTGTCGCCCATGCCGCGCGCATGCCAGAGATGACGGTTCCTCGGCGAGGCTCGAGCCGAAAAGCGGCGGCACCATGTCGGCACTTGGCTTGAGTCCGACCTGGCTGCAGTTTTCCATCCAAGTCTCGACAGGGATGTCAAATGTGGGGTCAGGCTTTGACTCGGGGATGGGGCTGCTCGAATTAGATGGACGTTCCTACTTGCTGCTATTCTAGGAGGTGACAGCATCAAATTGGAGGGGGGCTGGGCGTCGCACTCCTGTAAACACTAACTGATA